GATTAAATAGCCTACTGAATCGCACAGCGGGACTCGGTGCTTTGTGAGTGAGAGAGAATGAATGAGACGAGGCCACTGCGAGGTGTGGGGGGCTCTGCAGAGCAGGACAGAAGCCCCACTGTGGACTGTGTGTGTCCCCCAAAGTCACGTGGCGAGTCCTAACCCCACTGTGCTGGCGCTGGAGGCCGGCCTGTGGGTGATTAGGTCAGGAGGGTGTGGCCTTCCTGAATGGGATTAGTGCCCTTCCAAGAGCAGACACTAGACGGGCTGTTGGCTGTGAGCCCAGATGTGGCCTCACCACACCCACCTGCTGGCACCAGGGCCCGGACTTCCCGCCTCCAGACTGTGAGAAAGGAAGGCTGATGTTCCTGCCCACCTGTCTGCGGGGTCTCCGCCGGCCAGACAGGCGGCAGGGGGAGGAGACAGGGGACCTCAGGCCGCCGTGGGCAGCCCGGCACTGAATGGGGGCACCAGCCAGGCTTGGGGAGGTCGCTAGCCTAGCCCTGAGTGAGGGCCCTTCGCTCCTGAGTGACCTGAGGAAGCACTGGCAGGGACAGGCCCTGGTGGCTGGCCAGACCCAGGTGCTCCAGGCCGGGCACGCCCATTAATCCGCACGGCTAGGCAGATGTGGCCCATGGAGCAGGTGTGTGCCCTGAGCCGGGGTGAGCTGGATGGGAGGCAGCTTCTGCCCAGGTGGCTCATGGCCTGCGACTGGCAGGGGCCCCAGGCCACAGGCCCCACTCAGCAGCGGGTGGGGGGGGCTTAAAAGCAGGTCGTGGGAGGAAGGATGACCGTGACCGCACGCCCGGCATGGCCAGCCCTGGGCTGCGAGATTTGCACCTGTCGCCCTGGGAAATTCAAAGAGCACCTCTGTCCGCTGCCAGGGTCCCCGTTTGGATGCCCAGTGACAGGGGCCCGGGTTGTTTGTGACTAAAGCCCTGAGGCTGCAGCCACACGGTCACTGAGGTGCCCGGAGGGCATCAGAGCCAGACCCTGGACTGGGCACCTGGATTGGGGGTTGGGATAAAATGAATTGGGGGTTGGGATAAAATGCCCGATCAGTATACCATCCCAACCCCAGTTCAGGGCCAGACTGCTGAGTCACCTTCCCTGGGCCTCGCTTTCCTCCGACCCGGAGTCAGAGCGGCCCCCGGGGCTGCAGGAGGGCATAACCGGCGTTTGTATGGCCTTACTGATGTCGTTTAACCAAAGGACCTTGGCTGTGCCATCAGGCAGGACCCGCAGCTGCGGAGGAGGGAGGGGGGGGGACTGGGGCAGGCAACTCAGGCCTAGAGCTAGGCTGGCACAGGGCGATGCTGCCGTGGAGGAGCCTGGGCAGCCTGAGCCCCCAGGCCCGCAGGGGCCCCCCTCCCCCCCAGGGACTGCAGAGGAAAGGGGACCCTTTTGCTGCGAGTCTCACAGCGTGGGTGTTGGAGTTAGTGGTGCCGAAGGCTCCGGTTTCCATCTCTAGGGGCGAAAGGGGACGTGGGTGTGGGGGGCATGTCCACCACCGCCCTGGCTCTTCAAGGCCAGAGCTTTGCCAGCCTACCCGCGCCCCCTGGTGGGCAGAGACGCAGGTCTCAGGATGCCCTGTGGCTCCTCCAGGTGGTGCCAGGTCCAGGCTGCTGAGCCCAAAGCTGCACAGGCCTGTGACCCAAAGCCTCGGCACGCTGCCAGGAGGGCTGCCACGCACCCCCTGCCCCAGCCGGGCTATGCCGAGGGCCAGGGTCAGACCAGCGTCCACACTGGGACGCCAGCACAGGAGAGGGTGAGGCTGCCCACAGCTCCCTCCAGCCCAGCCCTGGGAGGAGGACTGCCCACCGTCCTACAGGCCCTCCCTCAGGAGGGCTGGGAAGATGGGGGGGGGGGGGGTGCTGCCTTGGCAGAGGGGCGAGGGAGTCGAAGGCTGGGGGTGCCTTCACTGCCGAGGAGCAGGGGATGCCCAGCGTGGGTCACTGTGTCTTCTAGTCTGGGACGGGTGGTTATGCTTTGAGTGGTAATCACCCACTGACCCAGGGACCTGCTTTCAGACTGAGGCGAGGGTGCCCATATGACCGACAGGCACAGGGAGGGCCCCGAGAGGGAGCAGAGCACCGGGATGGTCCTGAGACGGTCAGAGCCACAGCTTTTGGCAAGTCAGAAGATGGCGTTTGGCAAGCAATGAATCTTGGCACTAACCGCGGTATAAAAAGATGAGCAGGGTGGCTCAGGGGTTGAGCGTCAACCTATGAACCAGGAGGTCACGGTTCGATTCCTGTCAGGGCACAGCCCCTGGTTGTGGGCTCAGTTCCCAGTGTGGGGCATGCAGGAGGCGGCCGATCGAAGATTCTCTCTCACCATTGATGCTTCCATCTCTTGCTTCCTTCCTCTCTGAAATCCATAGAAATGTGTGTTCAAAGCTGCACAGAGTGGCATTGTTATGGTAACAGACACAGAACAACCGGGTGCAGGTAAATGAACTCTGGTCTTTCCTGAAAGGCAGGCTCAGGTGTGGGAAGGCGTTTCTGACGGAAACTGCGGGACTGGGCCTCATTTTATTAACGCCGTTTGTATACCTTACCCCCCAGCACGTGTGCACAGGAAGCCGTCAGCGCAGCAAGTGCCTTCCTGGTCCCGTGCTGTCTGCAGCCGGTGGGCTGTGGCTTTTACTGTTCTGTGTTCCGTGGCGACGGCGGCTCCTCGCTGGCAGAGCTGGCGCCCTGCAGCCGGTGCCATGTCGGAGGCAGCCACCCTGCGGACGCTCCAGGCCAGCTTTACTCCAAGAAGCCCAGTGCTCCCTCCTGTGTGCCCCTGGGTGCTGGCCACCTCCCCTGTAATGGCTCTGTAGCACCTTTACTCCCATGAAGACAGAATTCCCGCCGGGCAGGGGCTGTGGCAAACACCGCGGGGGCTTGTCCACCAAGAGCGCTTCTGAACTCAGCGTCCCCAAGACAGAGCACACGGACAGGGAGTGTATGCAGCACGGGGCTGGGGTGCCTCTCCCGAGGAATCCACACAGCAGCCGCCCGACGGCCACACAGCCAGTCCGCCCAGCCCACCGCCCGACAGCCACCAGCCATCTGCCCAGCCCACTGCCCGGACAGCCACCAGCCAGTCCTCCCAGCCCACTGCCCGGACAGCCATGCAGTCAGTCCTCCCAGCCCAATGCCTGGGACAACTGGGCAGAGGGCCCCAGAGGTGGGCATGGCATCTGCCTGCCTGTGCTTCCCCAAGCCCAGGGCATAGCCTCTGGGACCCCCAGGAAGCACCAACTAGGAGACACGCCCTGGGGAGCCACAGCCACAAATGCACCCCCGTTCTCCTCGTCCACCTGCACGCCTGAGGTTGGCTGCTGTGCCAGGCGCCCAGGGCAAGGGAGACGGAACATCTGGGGCCACACGGTGGCCGCGACCAGGCACGCGGCCCTGAACCAGGCGTTGTGTTCCCTGCTGCAGGAGATTCTGCCTTGGGGTTCTACCAGGCCTCGTCGAGAGCCTGGCGGTGACAGTCACAGAAACAGCACGGGCCCAAGGGCACGTGGACCTCGGCTCAGAATTTTGCTCCCTCACCAGGTTGCAAGCAGGGGTCCTCAAACTTTTTAAAGTGGGGGCCAGATCACGGTCCCTCAGAGAGCTGGAGGGCCGGACTATATGAACTACTAATTCCTACTGTAACACCTCGGCTGCGCTCACTGCCCAAAAAACCTGGCGGGCCGGATCAGACTCCTCTGCGGGCCGCATCTGGCCCGCGGGCCGTAGTTTGAAGACGCCTGTTAAGAGGCAGGGCTCTGGCGCCTGGGGTCCTTGTGATGCCTGGGAGCGAGGGCAGGCTTTGGGCTTGGTGAATCAAAACCAGGTGAAATAAGCCACTGGCAGAAAGACAAGTACGAGGGATTTCACCCACATGGGGAACATAATAAAAACAGGCAAACAAAATAGAAATAGATTCACAGACACAGAGAACAGACTGACAGCTGTCAGTGGGGAGAAGAGTTGCAGGGCTGTGTGAATACACTGAAGACATTAAACAAAAAACAAAAAATCTATATAATAAAAATTATAGTAATGCCCACGCCCACCTCTGCTTTTCTCTCCAGCGATTTCTTCTGTGGGATCTACCTTCCCAGCCCCTCTCCACCTGCTGCTCATGCAGGTCCCAGCTTAACATCACTGGCCTCTGACCCCCTCCACCACGGGTCTGAGGGCGTGGGTGCAGGGCAGCCATGAGAGGACAGCGCTGTGCGCTCCACTCACACAGGTCCCGGCCCCAGAGCCACGGCCACAGGGAGCGGGTGGGAGCCGGGAGCTCGAGGGGAAGGGGCTGGTGTTTCCTGGGGACGGGGTTTCATCTGGGGATGAGGACGAGGTCTGAGACGGTGCTGGTGGCCAGGCAGCAATGTGGGTGCACCGACAGCACCGAATGGGGAACGGTTAAGATGATAAAATGTCATGTATATTTTCCACAGTAAAGTTTGCTCAGTCTCTCTCTCAGGGATCCTTTCCTGTCCTTTGGCCTAAGCTCGGAGCCCTGTGTTATGTTCCCATCACCACGGGAACGTCTTCCTTCAGTTCATCTTTCTCACAGGTTGTGGGTAGAATGCAAGCGGGTCGAGTCTCCCTCATCGGTCACTGTGCACAGAGCCGGGCCACTGAGCAGTGCTGCTGAGTGTGAAGAGTGTAGACCCTGATTTCCTTCCTCAGCCCCGGTCAATGTCAGGGAAAGGTGACTGCTAAGACACTCGATGCGCTGTTGTCAATGTACCTAAGCCTCAGGCGACAGGCTGCCATCCTGGAGAATGAGAACGGTGGGTGTGCTATGTCGCTTCTGTGAGAAGATCGAGTCCCGATTCACCTGAAACGCAGGTTCTTTCTGCTGTGGGTGAGCCCACGGGTCCTGAGACGACGTGTTTGCCAGATAAATGCCCAGGAAACCAGAAACCACACGCTGGTTCAGGCTTTTTAAGGGCAGCCTCCCCAGGGCCACCTCCTGGGTTAACGCTGTGTTTTGTCTTCCCAAACCAGATATTCATCTTTGAGAACAACATCTACTACTGCGCTCACGTGGGGAAGCAGGCCATCCGCGTGGTCTCCACGGGGAAGGAGGACGTCATCTACAACGGCCTCAGCGACTGGCTGTACGAAGGTGAGCCGCCGAGCAGCCGAGGAGTAGGGTCGTGTGGTTGTTGTGGTCAAGTGGTTCCATGAGTGCCATGGCTGTCATGGTTGCTGAGGTTACCATGGTTGTGTGGTCATGTGGTTCCATGGTTATGTGGTTATGTGGTCATGTGGTTCCATGGTTGCCATGGTTGTGTGGTTCCATGGTTGCCATGGTTGTGTGGTTCCATGGTTGCTATGGTTCTATGGTCATGTGGTTCCATGGTTGCCATTGTTGCCATGGTTGTGTGGTCATGTAGTGCCATGGTTGCTGGGGTCATGTGGTTCCATGGTTGTGTTGTCATGTGGTGCCATGGTTGCTGTGGTCATGTGGTCCATGGTTGTGTGGTCATGTGGTACCATGGTTGCCATGGTTGCTGTGGTCATGTGGTTCCATAGTTGTTTGGTCATGTGGTGCCATGGTTGCTATGGTTATTGTGGTTGCTGTGGTCATGTGGTCACTGTAGTCGCCACTACCCCTGGTGGTGGCTGGTACCATTTCCTTTCATGTTAACTATAAAGCCAGCTCCAGCTTCTGAGGTTCAGCTAATTACAACAGACTGGTAGCGTCAGGCAGTGGCAGGAGACAGGACAGGTGTGGGGCTTCCCAGGACCCAAGCTCTTCGGCTCATGGGCAGGGGCGCTGTCTAGGAGGCACAGTGTACTTGAGGCGACTCTGGGACGCTGGGCTGTGCGCAGGTTTCCAACGCTCCGAGAGGCGGAGTGCCTCTCTGCCCAGTGGGCAGCGCTGGAAGGAGTAACCGGTTACGCTTCTGAAAGAAGCGGATCCGAGTGGCTGCCGTCCCGGGTCCTTGCCTTGTGGGATGTTTCCACCTGGTTTCCTCTGGCCTGAGGACCAGCTGTGGGCTCTGTTCCACAGCGAGCCAGCGCAGTGCGGGCTCTGCTCGCCGCCCGCTCAGAGGCCCTCCCCACCCCGCCCCGCGCTGCTGGCTGTTCGCCAGGCTCCATGCCGGGCCCTGTGCGATTTCCTCACTTACCCTCTGCCTCAGGCGTGTGTAACGGATGGATGCTGTGATGGCATTGCAGACGGTGTCTGAGCGCCTCACCGGTTCTCACAGCGCTGGAGGCTGCTGGTCCAGGCCCGGTGCTGTGAGGCGGTGCCTGGTGAAGGGCCTCCTCCTGGTCCTCACTTGGTGGGGAGAGGCACGCCCAGGTCTCCGCACCCCCTAGTGGGGAGGTCACCCTCCGCCAAAGGCCCCATGAGCACCATCCGTGGGGCTCAGGCTGCAGCAGCCCCTCCTCACAGCCGGTGATGACTGTGATGACACGTGGTGGCTGAGCCCAGGGAGTTAGGTTGTCCCCCGTGGCCCTGAGGTTATGGGCGCGGCCTGAGGGGTCACACTGTTCATGTTCTGGACAATTGTCTTCCCATAAACCCAGGTGTGAGCCTGGAGCCACGCACCCGCTGGCCTGCAGTGTGGCTCATGCTGCTCACCTGCCTCACGTGGCCACCATGCGGTCTGAGCGGAGGGGGCTCTGGCTGTCATCAAGCACAGAAATCATCTCTTCCCCCCTCCACCTTGTGTGGTGCGGTCCGCAGGCTGTCACCGGAGACAGCTTCCCGGTGAAAGTTGCTGAAAGCTCTAAGTGTGGCTTCCAGGGCTTGGCCTCTAGGTTTACTACAATCTATATATATAAATATATATGGCTAATATGCTAGTATCCTTTCCACTGTCCGACCAGTCACTCTGGTGCACACTGACCACCAGAAGGTAGACGCTCAATTCAGGAACTGCCATGATGCATACTTGCTATTTACAGAGAAACAGCAGCACAGACTTGGCCAACAAGGCAACACTCGGCTTCCCTCTCGTGGGACACAGGCCCTGCCACCACCCTGGAATGACAGCCTACCAAATCACAGCCAAACCTGCCAAGACCCCATAGCCAGCCTGGAAATGGTCCCTGTAGGTGCCAGGTAATGATAGCAAGTAGCAACGGCCATCTTTCTCCTAGCAACTAGCCTCCTTGGAGTTTCTTAGCCCAGGAACATGACTTGCTTTATAGCCAGGTGCAAACATTTCACACATTAACCAAATGTCTGTGAAGCATTTTCATGTGCCTCATCTCATTTGACCCTCACAGAAGTCCTGAATTAGGTAGATAGGAGACTTGGTGGAATCCTATTTTCTTTTCATTAGCTGGAAAATGGAGATTTAGAAAGCTTGGAAACTTGACCCAACTGAAAAGAAGTAAGAAATGGTGGACCTTGAAAATGACTTTAGGTTTTCTCACTACACAGAATATAGTCAAACACTGCTGCAGTAAAATATTTTACCCTTTGTTCTCCCTGCATGATCTACAATAGCAATCTGCTTTGTGTTGATATTTACTGCGGTGTTGCTGACAGTTACCTGAAAGAGAAGTTGGGGTGCTTCACTGGACTATGGAAAACCGAGCAAGCATAACCCAGCTGCCCGAGAGCTCATGCTTTAAGTATCCACTCAAGAGGGGCCAGTGCGTGTCCAGGCTCCCCCAGCTCCAGCATGGCAGTGTGGCAGTGTGGCAGCATGGTGGCGGGGAGGCCAGGAGTGTGGCTCGACACAGCTGTCCCATTTAAGGCTCACAGCACAACCAGGAGAAAGTGAAGACAAAGTCTGTGGCACCCCCCTCCACTCCCCCCATCCCGCCGAGTCATCACATCCCTGGGGATGTGACACACCAGGAAGGCTGGGAACGTCTCAGGCTTCCCGCCCGTCCACCAGGGCTCGGAGGTGGGCATGCAGCCGCCCACATCAGCCAACATCCGCCGCTGCCCGTCCTGGCCTCCCGCCCTGCGTGCAGGGGGCTCAGGTGAGGGTGGGGGCATCTCGAGTCTCTGGGACACACATAAGAACAGACCCAGCTCCTGGCCATCCTCCCCAAACCCTTTCCTCCTGAGCTGAGTTACGGTCCGTGGACTCTCCGGGGCCCAGCGTGCTGTGGGTGGTGGTGCGGTTCGAAGCCAGGGAAGCCAGGAGTGGGGCGTGGCGAGCTGTCATGGCTGAGTCTGCAGGCCCGGGGGGCAGGCTGCTGTCCCTGGTTCCTCTGCCTGCGCCTCCGGGACCTGGTGGGGTGGGGCACGCCCTCTGCGCTGGGTCTTACAGAAGGGCCTTTGTTTCACTAGGGCGGTGTACTGAGTCAGGAGGAATCATCTTTAAGGGGAAAGGAAGCTGAAAGGGGGATTGAAACCAGGGAGCGACCTTCCCAGAGGATCCTTCATAGACCCTGACTCAGGGTGCCAGGACGGGAAAAGGAGCTGATTGCTCCTCCCGAGACCTCCCAGCACAGGGAACACTGAAACACAGGGTGCTCAGCCAGTGATGGGGAGGGCGTGAGCATTCGAGAGTGTGTGTATGTGTGTGTGTGTGTGTGTGTGTGTGTGTGTGTGTATACGCGCATGCGTGACAGAGAGCGAGAGAAACAGGGACAAAGACAGAGAGTCAAAGCAAGACACACAGGAAGAGACAGGGTAAGGGGCAGAGAGAGTAGAAGGGCACAGGCAGAGGTCAGAGACAGACTCGGGAAACCGATTTCAGCTCAGCTGCCCAAAGCCCACCGTAACCAGTTTGAGGACTAAGTACTCTGCCCGCCACATTGCTGACTCCAGCAGCATTGCTGCCCTTCACGTCAGGGAACAGGTGACCTGCCTCTTGGTTGGCATGTGGTTGAGTTGCCCTCGAGTCACAGGTGGCTTTGCGGGGAGCCATCTGCCCGTCCTTAGTCCTCCCCGTGGGTCCCCACGGGCCCGGTTAGCTGGGCACCACCGAAGGCCTGGGGCCGCCCACCCCCAGGAGCAGCCTCTGGGAGAGTCCCGCTACGCGTCTCCAGCCAGAGAAGCACCTGCTGTCTTCCATCCGCAGTGTACAAGTAACAGCAGCCATTGGGCAGCGAGCGTGTCAGCTCCCAGCGCCTGGAGGGACTGCATGCTGGCTGCAGGAGCACGCTGCCCCCTGGTGGTGGCCGAGCACATGGTTCTGAGCTCAGTGAGGGTTTGTGGAACTGGCAGGTCCTCTTAAAGGTAGGGAACAGGTGAGTGCTGTGCAGATCACAGCGCTGGCCGGCGAGGGAGCTGCCTGCATCCAAGGCAGCCGCCCCTTGGCCTCCTGGCTGAAGCCCTGCCAGTTTCTTTCTTGGTGCCCTACCCCCCTCACCCATTTGATCCTGCTCTCCGCACCTCGGATACGATATGTAGTGGCAGAAAAAGGCAGCAGATGCAAGTGGGAACAAACCAGGTTTTCTGCATTTAGAGCAAGGCTATTTCTTTCCAATACCAATCCGCCAGGTCAGCTATTTGTGTCCTCTGTGATTTCCCCAGACACAGAGTTCTGGGGCCGTTGGTTCTCTCCAGTGTGTGTGGCCCCGAGGTGTGGGGAGCTGCGCTGTCTCGCTGTCTGCATTCTGTTCCCATGTGTACCCCGCCTCATTAAAAGGTGGCAATGGGCGGTATGGATGTCACTCGGGCAGATTCAGCAGTGGCCGGAGCTGCCGGATTGCGGGAAGCGTAGCTGGGCCTGCCCGCACCCGGTTTCCTGGTTGGCCAGGCCGCCCTGTCCTGGGAATGGCAGCGAGCCAGGAATCCGGAGCCTGAGCCAGGCTCTGCCTCTGGGCCCCGGGCTCCTGGTCGTGACCGGGCTCCTGTTGACGTCTCCAGTCCAACCTCCTCCTAGCTGGAGTGGGCATGACACAGAGCGAGGCTCTGACCGTCCTGTGCGCGCGTTCCCAATGTCCTGGGCCTCCGCTGTCTCCTCTGTGAATGGCTCACAGGAGCGGACGGAGAAGGGGCCCGGCCGGCCCCGGAGCCTGTGGTGGAGCTCGGAGGACACGGGGCTGGCTGAGAGTCCTCACTCCGCAGCATCCACCGGGGAGAGAGGAGGAGGGAGGAACCGCGGGCCGGCGTGGGGAGGGCCCGACGAGGCGGAGGCTCTGTTGAACGGGGGCCTTTCCTGGTGCTCGGCGCTTCTGAAAGGCGGTGCCTTGGCTGTCCCG